CCCTGGTGGATCTCTGTGTTTCAGCCAGGTGAAATTCCAGCCCAGGACACTGTCCGCTGCCCAGCGGCTGCACTCAGAGACAGTCTGACCTGGGCCTGGCCACCACTCGCGTTAGCCACAGAGGAGGGGCTGAAGGAGAAACCTCGTCTCTCTTAGACAGATTTTAGCTTGGGTAAGCAGAGAAGTGCTCTGATCTGAGAGCCCCATTCCTAAACCCTCAGCAGCAGCACAATGCGCATGCCGCTGTTACGCTCACAATACACAGGCGTTGACAGGTGGCTCCTGGTCCTCGTGTCCTACCTTTCAAAGGCATGAGGTAGGCTTTGCCCTCAGGGCTGATGAAGGAGACCCCATCCCCCCCGTCCTCTGTGGGATCATCGTCCTGTGAGGTGCTGCCACCTGTGGGCGGGGAGGGGTATGACAGGAAATGAGCAAGTTCCCTACTGACGTGGCACCTTACAGGGTGATGTTTCAAAAACTGACTTCAACAGGCATCTGCACAGGCGTTTCTCAGGAGGCTGAACCAGGAATTACAAGCTGGTGTACTGGAACCTCAGGGCACGAGGCACAGTGTGTGAAAGAAAACGCCCAACAGGCTGCAGTCTGTGTTGTGATGGCAGACAGAACGGCTCACCCAGAGCGACTGCTGAAGAAACTACAGCGGGAAAGCAAGCTCAGTCAGTGAAAAAACACCCCTCATACTGCAGTAACGAGAAAGACACACGCTCAGGCTCAGCAGGAAAGAAGTGAGTCTGTGACAGCTTGGTGTGCAGCCGTGAGAGAGAGACAGTTCAGTGTGTGTAGCTGTGTGAGAGAGTGAGTGTGTGACAGTTCAGTGTGTGTAGCTGTGTGAGAGAGTGAGTGTGTGACAGTTCAGTGTGTAGCTGTGTGAGAGTGTGTGACAGCTCAGTGTGTAGCTGTGTGAGAGAGTGAGTGTGTGACGTAACTGTGTGAGAGTGTGACAGTTCAGTGTGTGTAACTGTGTGAGAGAGTGAGTGTGTGACAGTTCAGTGTGTGTAACTGTGTGAGAGAGAGTGTAATGTATGTTAATGTTCAGTGTGTGTTTAATGTCTAACACGGTGTGGGGCTCAGAGGGGTGTCCTCTGGCTGGCTGTGCTCCTGGGACTTACCGATATACCCCCCTCCTCCCCCTCCTGCGGAGCAGGCCCCTCCACCGCCCCCAAATCCCCCTCGGGTCTTCCAGCCGGGCAGAGACTGGGGGCACGGCTGACCCCCCAGCGCCCCCAGGACCAGGGGCTGTCCTGCCCAGGGCACTGGAGAAGTGTCATTCCAGCCACCACCACCCCCTGCGACACACAGCAAGAGAGATGACATCAGATCAGGGTCCCCCACAGCACCCCAAAACACACATCACACAGCAAGAGAGATGACATCAGATCAGGGTCCCCCACAGCACCCCTGCGACACACATCACACAGCAAGAGAGATGACATCAGAACAGCGACTCCCACAGCACCCCAAAACACACATTACACAGCAAGACAGTCATCAGAAGAGGGTCACTCACAGCACCCCAAAACACACATCACACAGCAAGAGAGATGACATTAGATCAGGGTCCCCCACAGCACCCCAAAACATCACATCACACAGCGAGACAGTTATCAGAACAGGGTCCCCCACAGCACCCCAAAACACAGATCACTCACACAGATATCCATCAATCTTCTTGAACTCTGATGGCATAGGGTTTCAGTTTCAGCACTTGTGTGCAGCTCTGAGTGAGTCAGAAATGTGTAGCTGTGAAGCAGAGGAACCCCAGAACCCTAGACTCCCCCCCACCCCACCCGACCTCTGGGACCACAGTCGATACCGAACAGCTCACAGGGGTCTCTTGACTGATGAGTCAGCTCATCAGCTATTCCGGTGCACAGTGCACAGGGAGAAAGAAGGAGACTCATTCAATTCAGGGCCCTCCAGCTCCTGTCAGTCAGTTCTGGAATCGCCCTGGGACGTTACCTGCAGCGCCCGAACGGCCGTTCTGCCCCGGGACAGAGGGGTCGGTCTCGAGAAGCTCCTCCTCCTCCTCGTCCTTCGATTGGCCGCTGCTGTAGCCCCGCCCCCCGGCCCCGGCCGCGATCAGCAGGGGCACCGGGACCCCTCCCACCACCTGGAAGCACAGCACAGGCCTGACCACACACACAGCCGGTCACACACAGCCGGTCACACACACCTGCTCCCCATGCCTGGGGCCAGGGCTCTGGGCTCAGATCTGGGGGTTGCGGGTTCGAGTTCCATGACAGACACTGCTGCTGTACCCCTAGCCAGCACCTGACCTGAACTGTTCTGATAGAATACCCGGCTGTAAATATATGTTGCTTTGGATAAAAGTGTCAGCCAAACGTTATTAGGCTTATCAGGGAGTATTCAACATAGATGTAGCTCCAGGACATGAGGTTAGTACCCCTGCTCTAACAGCAGGTCTGGTGGAGTTTTTAATGGGTGGGACTGTAACGAAGAGCTCAGCTTAGTGTCTCATCAGCTGGAACAACAGCGCAGCTCCATGGCCCCTTTCAGGATTGAGGGAACAGTGCCCCCTACTGGTCCACCGGCGTCATTCCCTGATTCTCCTGGGAATCCAGGCCCAGCCTGTGCTTGCGCTGGCAGTGACCAATCTGCCAGACAGCTCTGGGATGAGGGGTTAAGAATGGTTAAAAAGCTGCCAGTTACAAGACCAGAGTCCCTGACCACCGCGACACTACTAAGCCTGAATCTCACACTGCACACCGTATAAGAGTTTATCCTGATATATTTTCACTAGGATCACTGCTTTCTCTATTGCATACAACAGTAAAATCTAACGAGGCACAGCCCTCCATTTGCCTGCAAAGACCTATGCTGAAAAAAAACAGCTTTAGCTCAAAGACTCTAAGATTGCCCTACTGTAAAAATGCACCACCAAACCAGATGTGTTTTTTACAGCCCTTATTCTGCTGGGACTATAGAACCAGTCCAGTGGTCTGAACTGAGGTTGTGTTACCATGACACTCCCTGCCGATGATGTCACAAACAGCCCGCTCACACTTGCCTTGAACACGTAGGTGGCTCCGCCCCCGCCCCCGCCCCCTCCCGCCGTCATCGTCCTGGTCTTGTTGTCCGTCAGGCTGCTCTCCCCCAGACACAGCTGGTTGAAGGCGGGGTCAGGCTGCAGGACAGGGGAACAGGGAGAGAGCGAGAGGGCCGTGAGATCTGCAAGTACTGATTCTCTCAAATCTGCTAGCGGCCACGCCACACAGAGCATCCAGACATAGCACTGGCTCAGGTTTCATTAAACCCGCAAGAACTTCAAACGGACTGGGTCCAGGAGAAACAGAGGGTCAAACTTGTGGGTGCTCAATCGATTCACTTGAACCCTCTTGTCTTCACTGAACAAATGAACTTGAGAATCCGAGTGGCGATGGAGTTCCGTTGAGAGAGTTCCTGATCCCGCTGCGGCCCACCCTGTCAGCGTGCTTCATGGGGAGGGGGAGGACAGGGAGTCACGAGACACAAGCGCTCCCCGCAGATTCAGCTCAAAAATCCAATTTCAAGCCGTATTACAGCAAGCCAGTCTGCTGCAGCCGCAGATCCCTGGATTGGACTCCCGGGCTCCGGGTTCTGACAACATTCCACCACACAACGCCAGACGAATCCAATCCCGAGCCGGAGCGTCAGCGCCGGCGCACTGCAGCCCCAGGGTAAGGCCTGCTCCCAGCCTGCACCTGCTAGCATCCTGCTTCCTGTCTCCGTCCTCCACCTGTCTGGAGTCCTGGGGGTCCAGGAGGTCCTCCAAAATCAGATTCCAGCTCCATGGGCACCCTGCAGGGAGGTATAGTGATAGAACGGCGTGCAGTGCTGGGGCCCTGGTTCAATTCCTGGGGCGCAATTCCAGTCGAGGGGATATCCTTGCTGCTTGCCGAGACGCTGCGGCGTTCCCATGACACTGAATTGGATGGATGGATGGCTGGTTGGTTTGCTGGTTGTCCTGCGACCTCCACTCCTATCTGACCCCTCTGGCATCATGTGGGAGAGGAATATAAGAACTTCAAAGGCTGGATTTGGCCCAGGCCTGCGTGTGAGAGTGTAACCTGCCCGGTGCCAGCAGGGTGCCTGGAACACGACTGCGATTGGACCCGCTGTCGGGGTGACTGAGACACTTACGTTGGGGCAGGCGTCCTCTCCCTGCTGGCCCACCAGGATGTAGAGGAGCTCGTCCTTCTGGAGCAGGAATTCCGCAACGACATACACGCCGTGTGACCTCTCGGTGACCTCTACACTGCGCCCCCCTGCTGCACCGTAACCTGTGATCCTGTGACATGGATAGA